GAAAGAATTAGAGAAAAATAAGCTCGAGCAAGAGGCCCAGAAGCTATGGTTCAGGATGAGGAACGAGGTTATTTCAGAGCTTCAGGGGAAGGGCTACGATGTTGAGTGAGGTAATTCTTGAATGGAAGCATGAAAATTTCTGATTGCTTAATTTGTGCATGTGTTTGTTCTTGTTGTGAAAGTTCTGAATATACCCATCTGCTTGAATGCTTCCTGTTTGATGCGTTTGCAGTCGTCTCTGTCATGTACTTGAATCTGAACACTAAAAGGATTAGTATTAGAGTTGAAAATTTCTGGCCTTTTGATATCAATCTCTATGGATTGGTTTTAAGTTTTAATCGATACTTGGTTCATCAATTCTCTCAAATGTTCTAACTTTTCACTAATGATCTTATGTATCCAAATTAGTAACTTGCATCCAATTTCGAATGATTTGTCTTTTCAATATAAAGTTCGAAAATGAAATACGATGTTTAAAAATATAAAGACTAGAATGAAACAATGTACGAAATCTTAAGGACTATCCCATGGCTCAATCCTTTTATTACCAATGTTTTTGTGAAAATTTGATGTTATCTCGGGAATGATGGGAATTTCTTAGTAGTATTATATAACTAGATTCTTGTTGAATATGCTATTGCACCTTGGCAACCTTTGACAGTTAAGAATAGCTTTCCGATCAAAATAGATGGTAATTGCTTTCCTATCAAAATTTATGGTGATCAGTTACCACTAATAGGTAGATTGAATAAGAAGATTGAGCTAGCTGATGTATTTCGAAAAAAGGAGAGAATACAGAGCTTTAAACTCTCTGATGTATTAAACTATGACCATTAAGGAGTGTAATTTATCCTATTAGGGTGACATAGGACAATAGATGCCGCATTTATTTATTAGAGATTTGTCTATAATTTTTAGAATTAAGAAAATTAAAGCTTTAGTTGATAATCATTTGATTTTTTATTTTTAGGTTTTGAAAATAAAGCTGGTAAAGAATTAGGGTTTAGGGTTAAATTTATTTTGTTATCAACTTTTTACCTAGATGAAAATATTTGAGGCTTCAATTAATCACATCTCTAATACCTTTTATAAATACCCATAAAACATTAAATATATATATATATTAATGATTTTGTAAAAATTTCAAATAATAAAATATTGCATATAAAATTTTTAAAATTCATTGATTATTTGTTCATTATTATAGTTCGGTTACTTGTTAGTTTCAATGTCTAATATGACGATTAATTTTTAGATTTGTGTTGGTCTACTTTATAAATTAAAAAAAAATTAATAAGATGATTAATATTTTCTAAAATTTATGGATTTATTGGGTCACAATTTAAATTTATATCCTATTAAATTAGTTAAATAAAATAATAAATAGATTAAAAAGTTATTAGACAATAAAAAGCAAATAGATACGAAACTAATCTCTACCTTCAAGGTTCCAAACAAAGAGTTTACGCATTTCCCCGACGACTCTACCAACCATGAGGAGCCGTCAGAACACGAAGACATGAAAATTCATTCTTGCCCCTCAAATATCTACTTATTTACGTAAGTTTACCGCATAACTCTCAAACATGAGAGGGGTGTTTACGGAAATTACTGCAAATACTCGTCCGACTCGGCTCTTAAACTCGAAGTCTCGCTGCCAGTCGTAGTCGTCAGTGTTGCGTCTCTCGTTAACTATGTACTCTGCTATCACTCTCGGTCGGCCAGTACGCTGCCGGCGATTTTCCGGTGACCGGTGTACAAAGCCGATCAAAAGTGAACCGGAGAAATTCAAAGTGCCTTCAAGGTCTCTCCAATTGCCCAAGGGCAATTGTTCCGGCAGCGTCTCGTCAACGGGTTATTTTCTCGGTTTTGGACTTCGGTATGGTTTGTCACTCGTTTCTGGATTCGTTCTTCGATCTCGAGTCGGTGTTTCCTCGAACGATGCTCAGTTCGGTTCGTTTAACGAGGATAAGGATGTCGAGGCGCCGAGTCGTTTCGAGTTTATCACGTCTGAGAGGGTTAAGGTTGTGGCCATGCTTGCTTTGGCTCTCGCGCTTTGTAATGCTGATCGGGTTGTGATGTCCGTTGCGATTGTTCCGTTGTCTCTATCCCATGGCTGGAGCCGATCGTTCGCCGGTATAGTTCAGGTAGCTGTGTTCCTCTTAAATTGGTTTTACTGTATAGCAATTGCTGGTTTCTTTCTCTGTTTTTCGTTTGCGCAAGATAGTTCTCTAGAACTGAATTTTATCTTTTCTAAGTTCTCTAGAACTGAATTTATCTTTTCTACTGAGTTTTTGGTTCTACAGGCAGGTGTGAGATGATATGATATAGATTTGAAGGTGATGGCGATTTCTTTTTGCGTATTTCTGCATCTATTTATGATATAGAGTTGAAGAGAATAGCATTTTCTTGCGCATTTCGCCGTCTACTTTGCTTCTCGCTTTAATTTCAATGACAATTTCGTTGCGTTGCTAATTAGCCTTAAGCTGATCGATCTTTTACGCTCGAGCAAATATTGATATCTTTCCCAGAAGTTTGAGATTTTGTTCTCTCGACTTCTGGTTGCTCTATCAGGAATTTAACAGGATATCCGTCACTTGTATTGTTAGCATCACAAGTATTTGACTAGAACAAAGTTATCGCTTGCAATTATCTGACGGTTGGACTTCGTGCAGTCATCGTTCCTTTGGGGTTATTTTGTTTCTCCAATAGCCGGCGGAGCGCTGGTGGACTACTATGGTGGTAAGATGGTTATGGCCTGGGGGGTGGCTTTGTGGTCACTGGCCACATTTCTGACTCCTTGGGCCGCTGAAACTTCGTTATGGGCACTTCTCTCTATGCGTGCTTTGCTCGGCGTTGCTGAAGGTGTGGCCCTTCCTTGTATGAACAACATGGTTGCTAGGTAACAATGATTGCTTAATTTAGAATAACAATTGAGTAGAAGCCAGCAATGAGCCATTTGAATGTTAGCTTCATAATTTGTAATCTAAGATGACAGAAAACCAAATTATGGTGAGCGTCTAAACTCTTTGCTTTCTGTTGTAGATGGTTTCCTCCAACAGAACGAGCCAGGGCCGTTGGTATTGCAATGGCTGGGTTTCAGTTAGGAAGTGCAATAGGGCTCATGCTTTCTCCAATCCTAATGTGTCGAGCTGGTATACTTGGACCATTTGTGATTTTTGGGTTGTCAGGGTTTTTATGGGTTCTTGTATGGATATCTGCAATATCCAGTACTCCTGATCAGAATCCTCAGATATCCAAATATGAATTGGAATATGTACTAAAAGAGAGGCAAGAACCTTTAGTGGTGGAGAAAGTACCCCGGACTACTGTTATTCCTCCATTTAGGCGGCTACTTTCTAAAATGCCAACATGGTCTCTTATCGTTGCCAATGCTATGCATAGTTGGGTACTGCTCAAACTATTTTCTTCCCTTTAATTCATAGGAAGTCCTATCCGGTGTGCCTTTTTACTGCAAATGTTGACTGATCTAGTAGCTTACTCTGTCTATGGCTTTGGATTAACCCATCTTAGCTACAATAGATTATTGCCCACGCTCATGCCTGATATGGGTAAACTTATATCACCTCCTTACATTTAATTATCTTCATATAATTTCACTGTGTTTTACAAATGGTGTGTTTAGGTAGTGGGAGAGGTAACTTAATGTGATTTCTTTTCCTGCAGGGATTCTTCGTGATTCTTTCATGGATGCCTATCTACTTCAACTCCGTGAGGAATCCTTAGCAAACTTTTTGATAAGTTCTCTGTTAAATAGTGAATTTCTTAAAGGATTGGTGTTTTTCCATTACAGGTATATCACGTTGAACTCAGACAAGCAGCGTGGTTTAGTGCTGTTCCGTGGAGTGTGATGGCAGTGATGGGATATTTTGGTGGATTGTGGTCAGATGGGTTAATACGAGGTGGTACATCTATCACTTTCACTCGAAAAATGATGCAGGTGAGCATTTTCTATCTCTATAGAAATAACTTTCACTGTGACACGATACAAATGGAGACTTGTACACTTTCTTCTATTTTCCCCAACCTGTTTGTGTGTTGTTGTTGTCTATCATCCTCTCCTCCTCGCTTCCCCATTGTTCTTAATTTTTCAATTTCAGCCACTCAAATTCATTGATTCCTGCCCCTTTTTTGGTTCTTTATTTCTACGACAGTCAATAAGTTTTATTGGCCCTGGGATTGCTCTGATCGGTCTTACTTCAGCCAGAAGTGCATCAGTAGCATCCGCATGGTTGACTTTGGCAGTTGGGCTGAAATCTTTCAGCCACTCCGGCTTTCTTGTGAACCTTCAGGTGGGCGACTCAAACAACTCAACTCAGCTTAATACCCATTTTATTTTTAGTTTTCTGAAGTGTCTATTCAAGCATCTAACATTCTGATCAACCTTTTAACTTTCTGAAATTTTTTCTGAAATTTCCTCCTTATCTCTGCTTTACAGGAGATTGCGCCACAATACTCTGGCGTGCTTCACGGTACGCTTACTATTTGAACAATTTCTACAACCCACCCGCGTAAATGCATAGTTTAGAAGTATTACTTAATTCCATCGTACAAGCCAGATTTGAGCCAACTTCAGTTCTTGACAAGTGCTTGGTTCTTGCATATTACTGGATGAGTACTCACACCAAAATTGAACCCAAATTCTGTTTCAGGTATGTCTAACACGGCTGGGACACTTGCTGCTATTGTGGGAACAGTTGGGGCTGGTTTCTTCGTGGAACTTGTGGGCTCTTTCCAAGGATTTCTGTTGCTAACCTCTGTTCTGTATTTCATGGCTGCGCTTTTCTACATCCTATTTTCTACGGGGAAGAGGGTAAATTTTGAAGAAACTAGTTCGGCGGAGTAGAACAAATTCTTGCTCATCTGGTGTTTAAGATTAACCAGTCATGTTGAAGAGCACGGAGAGCAAGTAATAACAAAACTCGAATTGGAATTTTGTAAAATCAAAAAAGGTAAAGTAAAATAAAGAAAGGAATGTACCAAACCGAATGGTATGAACAGAGCAAAGCGATAACTGTCCGCAAGCCAATGGCCAGGCACCAAATTTTACATCATCCAATTAGAAAATAGTGAGTGAATTAAAAATACCAACATTCATGACCATCAAGGTAGTAGCAAGTAGATCAGTAAATCAAGCAGGACTAACAGACCTTGAAGCCACGCTTCCACTCCCACCAGAATATCCTCCTCTCTTATGGTGCCTTGGAGTATGGCTGCGAGAGCGACTCCTCGAGCTCCTTCGTTCAGGAGAGATACTGTGTGAATGGCTCCTGAATCTCCTGCTTCGTTCAGGGGAAAGACTGCGTGAATAACTTCTGCTACGGGAGTGACTCCTCGAGGCGCTTCTACGGTGCCTAGGAGAATAACTGCAGGAATACCGTCTACTAGAAACCCTTGCCTTTGGTGAGACACTCCTAGAAACTGACCGATCCCTGTGCCTTCTGTAGTATAGATCAGGGGAGCAATAGTCGTAAGGTGAGTATGACCTGTCGTGTCTCCTGGTAGGCAACCTACTACATGGAGAGTGGGATCGAGAATACGACCTGTCACGTCTCCTGGTAGGCGACCTACTACATGGAGAGTGGGATCGAGAATACGACCTGTCACGTCTCCTGGTAGGCGACCTACTACATGGAGAGTGCGATCGAGAATACGACCTATGACGCCTATAGTATGGAGAATCATATCTTCGGCGGCTATAAGGGGAGTATGATCTATAGCGGTATGGCGAGTCATTTGATCTTCGGCGTCGATTGGGAGAATGGGATCTGCTCCTGCTACGGTCAGATGAATAATTAGACGAACAGCTCAAGCTCCTGCTATAAGGAGAGTAGCTGGGAGAACGTCGAGAAGAGTAGCTGCGCAATCTACGTCTCACTGTTATAAACATAGGATTAGACAAAAGAAAAAAAAAAATAGCGCAATACTTCATAGAAATAAATCAAACATTAGATTAAAAGCTCACCACAGACTGTTCTAAGTCCAAAATATCTCCCTGGAGTCGGAGTTCTACCTCTCCGTCTTCGAGCCTATCAGAAAATAAGAGATGTAAAATGAGACAATTCAATTGTCAATTGAAGAAAAACAGCAGAGCAGGGGAACATGCCACAGTAGAGAGGAAAGTAGGGCTACAGGAATCAATTAGCAGATAAAAGAGAGAAATGCAGGGCATACAACCCCAATGTTCTGAGACTTCATGTGTTTGTTTTGTTTGATTAGTTGTAGTTTGAGTTTGATGAAGAGCTGCTACACACAGCTAACCTGCTGCCAAAAAAACTTCAAGTGCACAGAAGCAAAAATCTCAAATCTCAAATCTCTTGCAACAAACCATCCAGAGATCCCGTAAATATTTGAAGTTGAACAATTTAGACAACATTAATAATGAGAAACATCTCGAGACTATGAAATTGTACTTGGTTTAATTTTTTACCTTCTCCACGGTGATTAATCGACCTTCAAGTACAGATCGATTTAGATATTTGATGCAACGTTCAGCCTCATCATTACTAGACATGGTAATGAATCCAAAACCACGGGATTCTCTAGTCCATGGATCAGTCACGAGATGAACATCTAGCACCTGGAGAATGAAAAATTCATTCACGAATAGAGAAAATCGTCCATAAATTCAATCACCAACAGTAAGAACAAAACACATACACCACCATCAAAAGTACAAGCCAAAGAAAAAATTTGAAGAAAATAAGATCTGCGACATACTGTGCCTTCAGCAGAAAAATGCTTCTCGAGTTCTCTCCTTGTAATTCTATGTGACAAACCAGTGACGTACAAATTGTTACCAGGATTTTCAACGTCACTAGAAGGGCTCCTGAAAAAAAAAATCCACAAAATAGAAGTAAATGTATCATACAGATGATCTAGAGAATATGGGAAAAACCGACCAAGCAAAGGGTTCCTGAGCAAGAAATACCTTGAACGGCTCCTTGACCTTGACAGGGACCTTGAGACCGATCGTTTGTATGAAGGAGAGCGGGAGTACCTAGACCTTCTGGAGTACGACATCTGCGACCTGATCAGCCAAGACAAGCCTAAACACGATCAGCATTTACTAAAGAAGAGTACAACGGAATTACAATGATTTTGTTTCTCGAATAGAGCAGCTGGTAAATCGGAACGTCAGTTTAACACTCGTGAAGAACAAGAAAATGAAGAAATACAATATCCATGACTTCCAATAGAAAGAAATACAGTATCTCTCCACCAATATTCTAAGTTAACAAAAAAATTCCAAGAAAACTGCAGAAAATACTCGAAAATGAATATGCTAATCACACGAAAAACAATCTAGCAATAACCCTACCCTAATTCTCTCCATAAACATCGTCGAAATCAAGAATCAAACGTATCATCTCAATCAACGAAAATAAATGCAAGAGTTCATGAAATGAGAGATAGAGAAAGAATTTACCGCCCAAACTGCAGAAGCAAAACCAAAATCGAAAGGAAATGCAACCGAGTATTCAACGACAGTAATATCTCGCACGAAAGCGCATGCAATAAAGTTTTACGCAACAAGCTGAAAGCATAATATATAGCCTCCAGGTGAGAGAAGTTTCTGGAGCACCGGATGCCAAATCGCAATAAAACATAATTTAAACTTTTTCGTTTCCGTATTCAGATTGGCATTTCAAATCGTGGAGTACTAATCAGGTATTTCGCAATCAAAATGTTATCGTGGATCCGCTACGTGTCAGAATATGACCTGTGCAATACCAAAAAAAATTATAAATCTCATATTATCAAAATTGTCACATCTTTTATAAAAAAAAAAAAAAAAAAAAGGCCTCCCATTTACGTGCATTAAATAATATTTATAAAAATGAAGAGTATTATACTTTCATGAAACTTAAAATTGCATGGGTTTGAGCTCAAAAGTCTCGTGATATAAATAACTCCGGGGTTATAGAAGTTTCTAGAGCTTTTGATACCAAATCACAATAAAACATAATTACAACTATAGAAATTTGATGCAGACGTGTAGACGTTTATTTGGTCAGTAAATAGTATACTATGATAAATATTAATTTGGTAGCCTGAAATTTGTCTGTCATCTTACTATTCAGATATTAGCTAAGTTCGTCCTTAGTTTTAAAGGCTAAAAGTACGAACATCACCAAAAGTACGAACATCAGCTACGCGTTACAAAAAGAAAAAAGTTGGCTCTATATTAATGCATAGAACTTGTAAAAAAAATTAACACAAATCCCTATTTTGAAATATATATAAATTTCAAATGATAACGTAGTAATGAAAGAAATTGTTGATAAGATCTTACTGATATAATTAATCAAAATAGTGAACTTCTGGGCTGTTTGTAACACCCGAATTTCACTTCTATTTCGTTTAGACTAAACTAACAACAAAGGGCTTTTTGCCTCAAAACAGACAAAGGAATGGAAGCAGTGAATCCAAATTGCTCATTCTCAAGTAAAAAGAGTGTCATATTACATAATGAAGACATGACAGCATAGGAACGATATAACAACAAAGAGGCCCCGCGCCTCCCCATCCAACAGCCAGACTTGTCGTCGGAGACCTAATCTATGATGATGCAGGTTCAGAAGAAGTTGAAGATGGAGCAGATGCTGAAGGCGTCGATCCCAGCGGTGCTGAACCTGAAGATGCTCCTCCTTGCGACTGAGGGGCAGAGCCTTGTGGTGCAGAATGCTGCTGGTATTGCTGGCTACCTGGAGGGGGCTGGGACTGGGGCTGGGGCTGGGGCTGGGGCGGGGGTGGCATGTTCGAATGATAAGGAGGGTATTGTGGATAATGTTGCTGCACATACCCATATGGCGGATAAAATTGCTGTTGATATTGTGCATGTGGTGGTGGTGGGTGCATTGCGTGATATGGATATTGATGTCCCTGCTGGTGTTGTTTCTCCAAACCGGGTCTAGCTTCGGTTGAACTTGCAGGTCCGCTATGGGGTGCCCCCGAATCATGAGTCGAAATCAAAGCTCCCATTCTTTGAGGGTCCATTGAGGGATAGAATGCTCTCTCCTGCTGAGGTGGTGGTGGCGGCATATTGTAGTAGTGCATAGGTTGAGGTTGATCATGCGTTCCTGGAGGGTGTAACTGGCTGTGCTGCTGCGAGATAACTGCTCGCGGCAACATTCCACTGTGAGCCACTGCTGCTTGCTTTGCTTCATCAGAACCCTCCGACTCTGGTTTTGGTGCTTGAGGTCTACCCCACATCAATTTCAGCCTAAGGCCCTTTACTACCAGCTTGTTAGAAAGCTCTCCTGCAGCCTTCTCTGCACCTTCCCTGGTGGTGTAGGTCACAAAAGCACATGCCCGCTGTAGCACCATTCTAATGGATTCAATTTCACCATGAGCATAAAAGTTATCACGAAGATCTTGTTCGGTGACTCGAGCATCAAGTCCACCCACATACAAGGTTCTAATACTCTCATCCTCTGGAGGTTCCAGAGAAGGCATCTCTCCAGCCTTGTTAAGAAGCTTCAGTGCAACTGGATCGTTAACCCTGAGGAGTTCGAAAAGAAAGTAACCTCATTAGCAATTATCTCTGTAAATTCTGAATCACCAAAAAAGTGGCTAGTATAGAAAAATATGTGATAACTGCGACTTTTAACATTCTTGCAAATCGAAACCGAACTGTGCGAATGAAATATAGCTCAGTCGTCTATTTCAGTTTTATAATGGCCAAGGGGAAAAACTTGATAGGAAAATAAAACTTCATGAATAGAACAAAAGATATAAAGGGTGATGAGATTCAACCCAACAAGGGCCAAGGGGAATCACAAGGTTGAGATGTCAAAGGCGGACAAAATATGTATTTCAATGTCACATCTTTCGAAATACAACTCAACTCACCACAAAATAGTAAATACTAATTTAAATAGCCACTGATCAACTAATTGCATATGAAAAACTGAGCAATCATCTCTGTTCCAATAAATAAGAACTATAGGAAGACTATATTTCATATGATATAAAGCTGAAACGAAGCTTAAGATATGTAACAAATGCAAGATGTTGACCATGAAAAAGCATAGAAAATTTGGGTGGTCAGGGACTAAGATCGGACACACAACAACTAATCATTCAAAAGGAAAAGATCAACCATACCCATAATAACGATCCTTAATATTTTGCTGGGACAACTCTCCAGTTTCAGGCATCTCATGTCTGTAAGGGCATTCCGAACCTCTGGTACATTCACCCCTAATATAAAAACTACAAACATGTGCACGGTTCCTCTTGTAATAGGGGGTAGTTCGTTGAAGTTTCAGAATAGTATCGTTTGGCCGAGCCTTTCCAAACGAGGACTCATAATCAATACCAGCTCTAGCCTGCATGGTCAACATTCAACTGAATTAGCAAAATCCAAGTTAGCAACAACAGAGCTGCAAAGACCTGCTACAGCAATCATATTTAATTCATTGAATATGTAAAAACTATAAAACAAATCAAATGCCACATAGGATACTTTTATGGTGCACATCCAGGCCATCTAATTAAATTCAATAGCTTTTATCAATTTTCTCAAATTATCTCCTCTTCAAAGTAATAAAATCACATTCCTCCTCAGGTATCTAATATTTCTTTGTGAAAATTTTCATTCTTCACTGTTCAAGGAAATTAAGATCCCATTCCTTTAAACAGCCAGGTTTCATTATATTAAATATTAATATTAATTTGTCGCGAAGATGAAAGTGAGAGAGAAAACAACATTTCATCCATACACTTCAGCAGAACATGGATGTCCGTTAAATAGAGTATGTTTGACCCAATAACATTCAGATTTTAAACCCATATGCCCACAATCTTGATTGAAATCAAGAACCTTTGCCAAATATGCCCACCTTTATTACTAACATTTTTCAATCCACTTGCGCAAAAGTACACAGAAAGCATGACTAACAAAGAAAAAGAATCTAAAGTAAAAAACACTTATTAGGTCTGATATAAATTAATTGATCCAGAACAACAAAAAAACACTTATTAGGTCTGAAAAACACTTATTAGGTAAAGTAAAAAACACTTATTAGGTCTGAAAAGCATGATCCAGAACAACAGAGAATCTAAAGTAAAATACACTTATTAGGTCTGAAAAAGATGTACGAAGCATGATCCAGAACAACAAAAAAAACTGACAATTTTTTCAATAAGAAAAGAAATAAGCTCAACTTCTTTTCAAGAAAATTGAAAATTGGAAATCATGTCTAATAAGGCAAAAGTTATTTATGTTAAGCAATCAAAACAATCCGACATTTTAGTTTTTACCATGCTATTAGTATTAGCCATATCTATGTCCATCAAGGCTTATCATAGTGGCTAAGATGGTTGGCTATCATAATGCTTTTCCCTTAACATTCCAAGAGATTGCACCAACAACTGCAAGGACTAATCATCCAATAACTAGAGGAAATACTAAGCAGAAAGTGCATACCTTCCGATCATGCTCCTCGGCAAAATATTCCCTATTCACATCGCTCTTAGGAATAGAATCGTTGGAGTTGATAGACAGGGCAGTATCTCGAACCTGAACTGGTAAGCCATATTCAAGGTCCAAAAGGCAAACTTGACATACATTTTTTAACTTACTGCAAGTCTGGCAAATCTCAGATTTCTTATATCTGGCATCGCGTCCAGGTCTCCACCTGAAAACTGTAAATGGTCGCGTGCAAATTTTGCATTCTTTGTCATAATCAGCTTTCGTCTGCATTCAGATATCGCATTCATTTAATCAAAATAATGTCTAAAGCAAAGACTAAGCATGAATTGCAAAAGAGCACAACTCCAGTAACCACCATTGCTTACTTCCCCACATATTTCATGCTAGTGAGTATATAAAAATCATAAACAGTTAACAGGAACCATCTGGATCTATGTTCAAACAGGACATCAATTGACGGTAATTACACGAACAGAACAGTTCGAGAAGGAATTACTCGAACATTTATGTGATCAATTGTGAACTTAGGAACGCAATTCAAGGACGGGTTCGAAGTAACTCGAGGGGTTGGGAGTACTTAACTTAGAGAAGATAGAAGAACAAACATACCATGCGAACATAGGGGTTATCACCAAGGCAAGACTCGCAGATGATGGGGAAATCGGAGCGCTCCCATCCATCAGCTTCCAGATCCCTCAGCAACCGATGCGCCATGGAAAATTCGTGTGGAACTCAACTCTGTTTTGGCTCCCTTGAGTAGGACTGCGAAGAAATCAATCAACTCTTCGGAAGTCCCTCAATCAATAAGTGAGACTTCAAACTGAATGATCGCCCAGAGCCCAGGGAGGAATGATCTCAAGTCATTTACTCTGCTTGGTGTGAATTTAAAAAAAAAAGAAAAAGGAAAAGGAGAATCAGAAATTCAAAATGGTTTGAGATCCCGTCTTCATCCAAAAATTTTCCATCCAAAATAGATTGGATTTACAGGATTTCAAACTAAAACTGACCTAACTCCATTCCAAATTTACCCTATTTTGTGATTAAATCCAAGAAAAAAAACTGATTTATCAGGACAGACTTCGATTGCAGAATTGAAAAATGGAGAAACTGAAATGGAAAACTGACCCATGACGTCCAGAGGTTGCAGCAGGGAGGAAGGTAAAGGGGAAGAAAACAAAAACGTGGCGGTTGGGGCGTACCGGCGACTATCAGCAGAGATGGTTGTGTGAGTGCGGCGGCGGCGGCGGCGGGAGGGGAAATTCAGAGATGAAGGAAACGGGTGGGGAGCGAAAGAAGTGGAGGCGGACGTGTAGGGTTCACTTCTTCTCCATCTCTTCTCTTCTTTTCTTTTCTTTTCTTATTTATTTATTTATTTATTTATTTATTTATTTATTTATTTGTCTTTTTCCAATATTTATATATATATTTTATATGCAATGGTAAGTAGGTATTTAAACAGGCATCAAGCTCGTTTGTTAGATTTTTTTTTTTATTATTCTGAATTCTTTAAAATACCTTTATATTTCACTGTATTTATATTTAAGTGTGTAAATATATTTAAAAATAAATAAATAAAACTTTGATGAGGATAGTTTGTGTGTTTATTAAATTTTAATATTAAACTAATAACAAAATCATTTTAAAATTACAATTTCTTAGCCTTAAAAATCAAGTTTTTTTTTTTTTTTTAAATGAAGTGTTCATTGTGAGAATTTAAGTAAAAACAAACTTAGTACGTGTTTAAGGTAATGAGTTCAAATAAGTAAAACGGTGTATTTTAGCCTGAGATTGTACTGATATATTGTAACGGTTGTAACAGAACTCTAAGTATGAAAAAGGTTTTAGTAGATAGGGGCGTAGAGATTTCTGAAAGTTGGACGAGGTTTAAAGGGAATACTAATAAATGTCGATGAATATTGATAAGGCAACCTCTTATACAAAATTTGGATTAATCCAGAAGATGGACAGAATTAAATTACGTGCGAACGAAGATTGAATTAGATTACTTTTTATATGGAAGGAAGATTTGGAAACCTGGTTCTAACTTAGTTACAGTAGAACTTGATTTCAAACCTAATTAAGGATTGATTGAATGACTAGAAGGATTACCTTCATTTGTAAACTTGGTTCTAAATTGAGTTACCCACCATTGAATTTGATTTCGAACCTAATCAAGGCTTGATTAAATGACTCGGATGCAATTTTAAATTGTGTTACCAACCATTGAACTTGATTTCGAACCTAACCAAGGTTTGATTGAATGACTCGGATGCAATTTTATATTTATTGGAAGATGTTCCGATCTTTTAGGGAAATCTCAATTTCAAATTTGAAATACATTCATCTACGAATCTGATTTTTACCCGACATATGGTTGGTTGGTTTTAGCTTTGATTTAATCCCGATTTTTACCCAACATATAGTTGGTTTTTTTAGCCTTGATTTAATCCCGATCCCCTCTAATCTAAGACAAAATCAAAGTGACCCTTTTACCCTTACAAACTTCATACCATTAAAAATAAAACTTTGTAACAAATATTGATGTGTATTTGCCTACATAGGTTCGAACCTTATTCTTGACATTTTTAATTGCATTTTTGAATTTCTTGGAGTTGGATCGTGTAATAGGTCCATTTGTAACATCGTGCGATTCTTATTAGATATAATTATAGATCTTATTAGATATAATTATAGATCTGCACCAGTATAATAATAATAATAATAATAAGAATAAGAATAAGAATAATAATTAAAAAAAAAAAAAAGTGTAGGAACATTTTTTTTTTTGTAAGAAATTTAAAATTAGTAGAACACAGAAGTTAGGCAAGAAATTGAGAGATGAAAACTTTATTATAATTTTGTTTGGAATGTAATTTAGATGCTGCAAGCACAGCCCTTGAACGTTTGAGTACCGCCGAAGCAGTGAAGTACCTGCAGTCACTGTCGGACGTTGGCTAAGTATCAAAACGGGGACGGATTGTGCCGCGCACTCGGCTCGATACGTTCCTTCCTCTGGAACCCGCCCAAATCTTCAGAATCTAATTTAGAGATAATTGTGCGTGGAAATTCAGAACCGCCGGGAAGAGTACGGAAGTTCGGTTGCAGAACTCTGATATGAAATGGATCCAATTGAAGCAACAAAAGAGCTTTCGTTTCGCGTCGGTTTTTCCGGCCACAGCGGCCATCTCAGAGTCGAGCCTCTTTCAACTGTGGAGCGCTCCAGCCCTGTTAGATCGCTCCCGGATTTCATACTTGTAAGTAATTCTTTTTCGTAGTGTAGCCCTTGTGTGGAAGCTTACAGTTAGTATGTGGCTGCATGCTGTTCATGGTTTTTTGCATTTCCGTTTAAAATTACTTTTAGGGTTTATCAATGTTATACCATTCTTCAGTTTTGAGTATTCGGTGTTTAGAATTTTTTTAATTTCGTGCTTATTGCAAGCCTGGTGTCACAATTTCACATAGCAGTTGAGGAGAAGATGATCTTCAGTTCTTATTGCATAAAGGTTGAGAATGGGATTGAAGCAGGGCTCATACTCCCTTTCTTCTGTTTTTATATTAGCTATTTCTCAAATTTTCTCTGCGGTGGAATTTCTTAATTTCTTAAGAATGTTTCCTGTCCCATGTATTTGTGTTTCTTTCCCTTCTCAAAGAAAGAGATGTTTCTTGCTAACCTAATTATTTGTAATTTTCCTTGTACCTGAAGGTTTGAATTCTTATCCTCACACTTGTAATGTTATTTTCTAAAAAATGCGACATTGCTTAATTACCACTAAGCATCAATTATGCACTGTGTTTATTTTTTATTTTTGGTTCAAATTCAGCCTCCCGCATTTCCTAAGGAAACTCCCGAAACAATAAAGGGCTACATAGAAGAGACTTATCTCCAGCCGAGGTTAGACCCTGATGAATTTTCCCCTGAAAAAGTGGGAAGACAATGGGATTTTGATTGGTTTGAAATGGCAAAAGTATCTTTGGATCCATCACAACCAAGATCAGTTGTGGTTCCCACTTGGGTGTTGCCATTTGAACGACCAAAGAAGGACGGAACAACTGGAGGGACATGGGAACCTTGTTCTGTGCAGGTACTGCTTGATTGTTCAATCTGCCATGCATGAAAAATGTTGGGTTAGCTATACTGAATTAAGATTGCTGCGATTATACGTTTCATGCATTTACGTTAAGTCAGTGATCTCGGCTATATTTTCTCATGACTGATTTTCCAATTGGACTAATTTCACTTTCAGGTGGATGTTTCTGAGTTAAATGTGGAAGCTCAAGAATCTGGTTCACAGCCACGCATGCCAGGACCGGCAAAAGATTTTGTAAGGGGAAGCATAAATAATCGTCCTTTTCGACCTGGTGGTTTGGATGATTCCCAATCTGTTGATAGAATTCTTCCTGTTGCAGCTTCAAATGGTGAGTGGGTTCAAGAAATTCTAAATGGTGGTCGTGCTCAATTCGTTCCCCCTATTTTAAAGCAAGGATTGGACCTTGGTGATCTCAAGGTAGTTTCTCTTATCATTGAGAAATGCCGAACAAAATTCTAACAAGAGAGAATGTATTGACTTTCCTTATATTTATATTTCGCTATTTTTTTAACTTTCCCTGATTTTGTTCACAAGGAATATCCTAACTCGTGGAACGTTTATGAGGACCAAAGTTTATTCAAGACCTCACCAGTTGAAAATCTGGTTTGTTTTAATACCTTGGTTTCCTTATAAAATGCTGAGCAGTGTTTTTGTTTATGGAGAATATATGTTGAAAACCCTCCTTAATAAGCATTGCTATTGGAGTTTTCCTGTTTCTTTCTGACCTATCTGCTAATATCACAGCAGAAAGAAATGTCTGTACAATTTGATGATTTGTTCAAGAAGGCCTGGGAAGAGGAAGCCATAGTATCTGTGGAAGATGGTGTGTGTTCTGGTATTTGTAAACTGAAACACTATAAATTTAAATTGATGATGTCATCAACAAGAAGGTCTGTTTGGCACTAAAATTGACATACAAGATGCTACCATATTTGTACGTCAAGTCCATTTATTGAGTCTGGTTCAATATTGTTGGTTCTATTGATTTTCTTTTGGGTTGAATCAATTTCTTTCGCAATAAATTTGGTTTAAGTTTTTCCTTTTTGCCTTCAAACTTATTCCAAAAATATTAGAATGAATAAAACCAATTTCATTTTATGTCATTTGAGTCTGTGCATTGGAAAGTAACCTTCAATTTTTGGGTTGAAAATATTAGCCTATTGGGTGTAATGATTTTCAGTCAACATGTTGGCTTAGGAAAATTCATACACACAGCTTTTAAGACGGAAAATGAACTAACCAATATATTCTTGCTAGTTGCTAGTAGATGATTTGGGAGGTTGGTATGGTGGCGTGATTGAATCGTCTTGGAATATACTATTTCTGCAAGCACGAAACACTTGCATTAAGGAAAACTTTATTTAACGGGTGTATATTCTTTGAATGAAAGTATAGTTCTTGTTGTTTGACTCTCTTTCATTCTTTTGTTCTCTATTATTATGTTTGGAAAGGTGAATCACCAAAAGCAGAATCTATTAAGTTAGAAGTTCAAGTAAATGAGCTCGAAGGCACTAGCATTGCACCTGCATTGGAAAAATCTGTGTTGGATGAAATTTTGTCCCTTGATTCTGGAGGATTGTCATTAAGATCCGATCAAGCTACTGATCATGGTAGAGAACAGAAGAAGGAGGTAAGTAATGGTTTCAATCAACTTTACTTTTGTGCTTTCTGTTCCTTTCTCTTTGTCACTGTTTTTTGCGGTGATTGATAAGCAGGCTTGGGTTGTAGTTGGTGGTCGCGAAGAGATTTCTTTGCACTTCCATGAGCTTGTACCTGATATGGCCCTTGATTTTCCTTTCGAATTGGACACTTTTCAAAAGGAGGTAATTATTATTATTATTTTCTGAAGAAGATACAAATTTCATTTCTATTGTAAGATATAGTAAGAACGTATGAACAAAAGATGCAATTTACTATGATGTGAAGTTATGTATGAAAGCAATTTTGCTTATATTTCATTGAGTAAAAAACAGTAATATGTATGTAAAAGAACCTCAATCATAGGTCGATAAAAGTAACGATCAAGTAATTTGCCTATGTCTATAAATGGAAGGAGAAATACAGCTATACAAATGTACAAGGAAATAAATAAATGGTTAAAAATCACTTTTTGGTCCCTGAACCTTCATGAAAGCAATAATTTAGTCCATGAACTTTGATTTTAACAATTTAGTTCCTATACCTTCACTTTTGTAACAATTTAGTCTTGAACTTTAGTTTGTAACAATTTAGTCTTGAACTTTAGTATGTAACAATTAGTCACTCTAATTTTGTAATGATCTAGTCCCTATCTTGAAAATTATTGTTAAGATTTCTGAAATCTCTTATATAGGTAGGCCAATAAATTTTTTAGGGATCCTATATGTCTATAAGCTACGAAGTCTAAATTGTTATACAATAAAAATCAACATTTAGTTTTGATGATTTTTTTTTTTTTTTTTTTTTGTGGCAAGGATTAAATTGTTACAAATTTGAAAGTATAAGGACTAAATTGTTAGAATTTGAAAGTTCATGGACTAAATTAATGCTCTCACGAAAGTTTAAGGACTAAAAGTGTTCTCTAACCTAAATAAAACTTTAAGTTTTCATCTTGATTTTCTGCACTCCCCCAAGCTGGATGACATGCATTCCTTGCTTAGAAATCAGTACCAAGGGTTGTTTGATGTAATGCCATGGTCAATATGTCTGCAACTTGTTATTGGGAAGGCACATGTCTTACATTTATTTGTTATTCTTACTGTTCTCTCTAATGAAATGACAATCTATCTCAACAGCTTCATTTGAATACGATGCACTGGATTTTTTTTGCAATAGGAATGATAGATTTTATTATCACACATTAATTCTATGACACCTTCTGTCTGGCTATAACTCAGAAAGTAGGCATTGTAACCTAATTCCTTCATAAATTACTTGAGCTAATGATCTAAACTTAGCTTCAACACTACTTCAAACGCCAACTTGTTGCTCAATGCCACTAATTCCATCACATATAGATGCAAGACCTTAAAGTTGATTTGTATTAATGATAAAGATAATAGATATTAGTGAGGCATCATTTTCCTTCCATTCCTTCTGCCACTCAACATAATTCCATATTTTAAGTACCTGATTATCTATCTTTTGGTGGTGCTGTTGGTACTTGGTATTATTTACTTTATGTAGTTCTCATAGTAATTATGACCTAAAATTTTTATTTGAAAGAAAAAAGGTCAACCAAAATTTTTTATTAGTTGTCGAATGAATAATTCATTTCTATTATTGTCTTGTGGTCATTACAGGCTATATATCATCTTGAAAAAGGGGATTCTGTATTTGTTGCTGCACATACATCAGCTGGAAAGACTGTTGTTGCGGAGTATGCATTTGCGCTAGCCACTAAAGTATGAAACGTTACTTCCAATGTCACAAATACATATTTATGAACAACATAGTTGAGCCTAACACTGGTCCATGACTCAAGTTTTTTTCATTTGTTTTCGAGCTTGCTTATACTATTATATTCTTAATGAATGCTAAGGTTTATTTCTGATCTTAATGCCATACAGCACTGTACTAGGGCTGTATATACAGCTCCCATCAAAACCATCAGTAATCAGAAGTATCGGGATTTTTGTGGGAAATTTGATGTTGGACTTTTGACTGGCGATGTCAGCTTGAGGCCAGAGGCTTCTTGTCTTATAATGACAACCGAAATATTAAGGTCAATGCTTTATCGAGGTGCTGATATTATTCGTGATATTGAATGGGTAAAGGAGCTTATTATGTGCTAATCTTTTAAACTGTAATTACCTCCCTCTTTGAGGTCTTTTTTATTTAATTATTTATTTTTGTTGTAAATTTTAGTTTTATATAATATACTAACAAATTACTGCATTTACCTTTTCTACTTGCATGTATGGGGAGATAGGTAATATTTGATGAGGTGCACTATGTCAATGATGTTGAAAGAGGTGTTGTTTGGGAAGAAGTTATCATTATGCTTCCAAGGCATATCAATATTGTCCTTCTTTCAGCCACGGTATTGTTCTCCAGTTAATTATCTACAGATGTGAAGGTTACCTTGGGTGTGAGGGGAGCTAAAACAAGATATTCTTCTGTAATCTTACAGTTTGTGATTTTTTAAACTTTGAAAGCCACAATATTCTACAAATAAGTTATCCTAAAGTTATAGCATGTATGGACTGTAGTGCTTGTTAATCTGGCAGCATAAATGGACTTTTCACCGAGTGCTGATTATCTTCGATTTTAGGTTCCAAACACTATCGAATTTGCTGACTGGATTGGTAGGACGAAGCAAAAAAGAATTCATGTCACTGGGTAAGAAGAGATTTGAGATTTCTACTCCTGGCAGTCATACTTTGGGAGTCTTGGGGGTTCTTCGAGGGATGCTAAACTCAAGACCTCGCTTTTTTTTTTTTGGTCCAAATTATTTTTCAATTATTCTGTTGATAATATACTGAGGTTCTTTTACCCCTAGGGTTGACTGCATTTTCACTCCTTTTAGAATTTGTATACTTAATATTTTGTGTATCTTTTCATTCAAATCAATGAAAAATGTGTATCATGCTTAGAAAAAAGCTCTAAATATGCAAAACAAGTTTTCAGAACAATTTGGAAAATACACGCACCTAAATATTTATGATGGGATTTATTTTTATTTTGTCCTTTTCTTTTCCGTGCTTGCTTTATTTTGTGGATGCTATAAGATTTTTGTTTATGTAATTTCTAGTTATTTGTCTTGACATTAATGGAATTCTTTTTACTGTTTGTCGTTATCAGGACTACCAAAAGACCAGTACCTCTGGAGCACTGCATATTTTATTCTGGTGAATCGTATAAAATATGTGAAAATGAAATTTTCTTATCTCATGGACTAAAAGCTGCCAAAGATGCATCCAAGAAAAAAACTTCAAGTGTTGCTAGCGGATCCCATGTTGGGGCTTCAGCATCAAATGATGGAGCAAGGAATCGAAAAAATGAAAGCTTTAATCGAATCAAACAGAATAAGCATTCAGGTTCCCAGAATTTAGGGAACTTTTCAGGAACAAGTTGGGGAAATCAAAAGAATGGAGATAGCCAAAACAATTGGGGATCAAGGAGATCAGATGCTTCTTCGTGGTTGTTACTTATTAATAAGCTCTCAAAGAGATCTCTATTACCCGTATGCACTCTAAAACCATTCTCACACATATTTGTGATTTGTAATATGTCCGAAGTCTAGCCAATCACGTCAAAAGGTTTCTTTCTTGTGCACGGATTGTGTCAATTTTCACATTGAAAGTTACTTGTTTTGCTGATTTTTTAGATAGTGTGTGGCCTTTTTTTTATTTAAAAAAGTAATTTTTAATAAATTAATTTCTATTAACACATTTTTGGCTGCTATTCATGCCATGTACAGGTGGTTATATTTTGCTTCTCAAAAAATCGTTGTGATAAATCAGCTGATAGTATCTACAGTATTGACCTCACTAGTAGTTCTGAGAAAAGTGAAATTCGCGTCTTTTGTGACAAAGCCTTTTCGCGTTTAAAGGGATCTGACAGAACCTTACCCCAGGTTTGGTATATTGGATGCTTTACTGATTAATTAATTATTCAATCAAATTTTATGCAATGTAATAACAAGGTAACATATACAGATTGTTAGAGTTCAAGGACTTCTTCATAGAGGGATTGGAGTGCATCATGCAGGTCTTCTTCCAATTGTTAAAGAAGTTGTTGAAATGCTATTTTGTCGTGGCGTGATAAAGGTAAAGTTGTCTCTAATGAATGTCATTTTTTATTTTAACTTTATTTTACCTCATTTTTTATTTTAACTTTATTTTACCTCATTTTTTATTTTAACTTTATTTTATGTTGCTTTTATTTGATAAGTGATAACCAGTCACATTTGCATCCTGAGAGTTTACAGTAGTCATTTGTACTAACTAAATTCATTAGATACAATGGAGTTCAAGTGATAATGGTAGGTCTATGCTTATCTCTATCTTTGTTGCAGGTTTTGTTTTCAACAGAAACGTTTGCAATGGGAGTTAATGCGCCAGCAAGAACGGTGGGTGTCATTGATCATCATGGATTGTAATTGAAAAACATTATTACAGATAGTAGGTTTGCCGTGAGCTGCTATGTCTTCAAAATCAAGTTTGTTTCATGAGTTGGCTCGATTTTCTTTTGTCAATAGTTGATGGTATCAATCTTAGAATCTCAAGTGAGTTTTCATTTGTATACTATCATATATCTAGCATGAAAGCGAATTTGGGTTGTTGGAACCACTGTATTTTTTCACTCAATTCACAATCTAGTTGTTTATTTTTTGGGTCGTTGTTTAGCTAATATTCATCTCTCTTGTCGAAATATGTGAAAACATGGTCAAGAATCAAACATGGTCAAGAATCAAGATACGGTTGTTGCTTTTCTATGTTAATACTCCACTCCTTTTTTTAGCCGGGACAGTTATTGACAGTATGTTGCTTAGCTCATATGAATGATTGACTTGCATCTTTTTTTAACAAAAAGCAAACTTTTCATTCATCTTATAACTTATATCTGACCTCTAAGGATTACGTACAGGTTGTTTTTGACACTTTAAGGAAGTTTGATGGGAAGGAGTTTAGGCAGTTATTACCTGGGGAATATACCCAAATGGCAGGTCGTGCTGGTAGAAGGGGGTTGGATAAAATTGGAACTGTCATTGTAATGTGTCGTGACAAGATTCCAGAAGAGAAGGATTTGAAGCGTGTGATAGTTGGAAGTGCTACCAAGCTTGAATCTCAATTCCGTTTGACGTATATTATGATCCTACATCTTCTTCGGGTGGAAGAGCTAAAGGTATGTTATAATGCTTTGGGAAAAGGTTCTCTCTCATAGATTTAGAAGAAGGCGTCAAAAAGGATCTCTTAGGAAGCAAGGTGGCACACATAAAGTGTAATGACCCTAGATTTCTACTTACTTAGAGTCGCTACCGTCATCATAATATAATCATTTTGTGCGGAAGTAAGTGTTTAAACTTTATCATAAAACATACACTTCATCTTAAAACACTACCATGGACTTACGTATTCGAAAACATTGGTAAAACGACACAATGAAATTCTAAATGAAATAAATAAGCATTAAAATTAAAAGCACCCTATTCTAACCTAAGTCTAACCTAAGTATAAGAAAATAAGCACAACTACCCTATGCATGTGCCAGGGTCTCCATGACAGTGTTTTAAGATGATGTTTATATTTCATGAAGAAGTTTAAATGTTTATTTCCGCACAGAAATGATTACGCTAGGATGACTGTAGCTACTGTAGCTACTCTAGGTAAGAAGAAATTTAGGGTCGTTTCATAAGGTGTTTATTTATTTTTTATTTACTTCTAATTTTTTAAAAAAAATTAAACATATATCTAAATATCTATCTATCTATATATATAATATAATTTTGTATGAAAACAAAACCTCAAGAAACAAAAGCAGTCCTCCCTTTTTTGTTCACTGTGCTTAAAGTCCAAAGCACTGATGAGTTTTAGTGTGCTTCACATTAAAAAAAGTATTAACATTTCTAGTTAGGTTAATATTTTAATCAGAAGAACTTGTTAACGTTTTTTATCAACAACAGGAATTTTTTTATCGCATAGTTAAATGTTTTGGTTGTGAGCGGCAGAGCATTTTTGTTGTTGTTGTAAAAATTTCTTCCTTCTCCATATTGTTAATTCTGGAGTGTTTTGGTGCACTGTTCAAACTTCTCTCTTAGTAGTTTTGTTGATTCAACATGTTGTTGGTAATCATTCCTACAGGTAGAAGACATGTTAAAAAGAAGTTTTGCTGAATTCCATGCACAGAAGAAACTCCCTGAAAAGCAGCAACTTTTAATGCGAAAGCTAGCTCAACCTACGAGAACTGTAGAGTATGTTTACAGTGATGATATATAGTAGTCTCTTATGTTTAACATGTTACTCTCTGAATTCTTATCCTGACTAACTTGTGCAAACTTCAACTATTCTCATAGGACAAGTGTCTATAACCCTGGAACATTTGGTTGCCAAATAAATTTTTGAGACATTAAATCATAGGTAGATAGCCACTATGATTGAATCCATTCTCTTTAAGCACTTTACTTCATACAATGGTCGTTATTGACTACTAAGCCAACCTATGATAGTTGCGTAGGTTAGAACTATGATTATGGCCCTTTTTGGAGGTGAAAATATTAAATAAAGAAGGGGAATTAATGAAATTGGCAGAGGAGGAAGTAATAAGCAGACTAAGCAAGTGGAAAAAACTTTCTCCTCTTACAAGGAGAGTTTCTTTAGTATTCACGACTCCATTAATAGGATTATCTATCACCTATTCTATCTTTTGATTCGTCTTGTTTTATCTTTTACTTTCATACGTTGTGCTATTTGAAAGATGTGATGGGTCAATAAGTGAGAAGGGAGTCGGAAAAAATTGGTTTAGGAGAAGACTGGAAGGAAAGGAATAGCATGGAGTATGACAGTCCATTATAAAATCCTAAAGTTCAGACTGGAGGGGTGAATCAATATTTTTCAGCCATTGAAATTAGGCTTGATCTGCTTGAATGTAATGGTGGGAAGAAAAGTTAATAGGACAAATCGATTCTAATCAGGATATTTAAATCTTTCCTTATTCTTGTTACGAATGCATTGTGATGAACAACGTGGGAGTTGATATCTCTTTGCTATATGCAAAGCAGCAGGATCTGGGGCTGCTTATCTTCCAGTTGCTGAGGGGTTATCTTTTTAATGCTATGCTTTTTACATTTATCCTTTGGCACCACTCAGGACTAGTATCTTTTGGGAAAATATAGACTTTCAAGTAGGTAATGGATACAGAACTTCCGGACTCTGGGTTCGTTCCGAAGGAATTCAAGAATTATCTAGCTTCTAGCTTTCTACTACCTGTCTAAATTCCCCACCTCGCATCACAACTTTTATGCTCATTACCCTACCCGTGCAACCCATCGTTATTATTCTGTTATTAACATAATTTAATTTACCTTTAAAGACTTCTATACCCTTCTCTTATGATGACATCTCAACCCATGTTTTTCCATTTTGCTTGGTTCCCGTCGGCCACCTTGGAGCTTATTTGAAGCAAGTAGAGGGTTTGCCGTTGCTATCAAAATAATAGTTGAATCTTATTAAAAAAAAAGAAAATCAAAGTAATAGTTGAAACCTTATTGTCATACACCTATCTCATGTTTCTAGGAAAAGGACGGGCTCCATACCGTCATTGATGGGTCCTGTTTCATGTTTCCAGTATATCATTCTAATAGTTGAAGTTATGTAATGTATTAAGGTGGTTCAGATTTTTCATATTTCGTTTGTTGTAATTTCGAAGTCTTTGGGCATGAATAAATAATTGATGTCTCTTACAAATTCGAACGAATGCATAATTAAATGGCTCATAAATCTGTTTGCTGCCTGTAGATGTATTAAAGGTGAGCCAGCCATTGAGGAATACTACGATTTATATGCTGAAGCTGAGAAGAATAGCAACCAGGTCTCAGAAGCAGTCATGCAATCATCTGCAATTCAACAATTTCTTACTCCGGGAAGAGTGGTCGTCGTAAAATCACAATCTGTGAGTGTTTATGAGAATATTCACATAAATGTAATTGATGTGATGTGAACTTCCATTTATATTACATTTTCACCTTGGATTTTAAAAAATATTTTTATGGCTAATCAGTATATAATATCATAGGGACTAAACCCAGTTTTACTATTACCAGGACAAAGATCACCTACTTTCAGTCATTGTCAAAGCCCTTCCCATGGCTAGCAGGCAGTATATTGTTCTGGTGCTAAAACCTGATTCACCACCTGTCCAAAGTTCCTCAAGTGATGACTCAGTCAAGAAAAAAGAGGATTTCCCCCAAGGTTACTTTATGGTACCAAAGTCAAAACGTGGCCTTGAAAATGATTATTATTCTCCATCTACACGTAAAGGATCTGGTGTTGTGAATATAAGATTACCACATGCTGGTGCTGCGGCAGGAGTAAGTTATGAGGTTAGAGGAGTTGATGCCAAAGAATTTGTGTGTGTGTGCAATAAAAAGATACAATTAAACCCAGGTAGGCTTCTTGAAGATGTAAACAATGTTGCTTACTCCCAGACAGTTCAACAACTGTTGGATATAAAATCTGATGGGAAGTTTCCTCCAGCCCTCGATCCGTTAAAAGGTAGCATCTTCATTACCTTTCTATTAACACGACAAACAATATTAAGCAGTGGTAAATCACTTGACATATTGTGCATTCATTCATATTCAACAGATATGTAACTTTTGGATGCACGCATTTCTCGATGAACTATGCATATTTCTCTGTTACAGTTAAGTTAGCTACATTCATCCCTTTCGTTTGATCGAAGTTTAAGCTAACTAAGTAGGAAGCCTGAACATCCTATTTTAAGATGAGTGTTATACCAGAGATTTGCTAGACAGACAGAATTAGACATGCTCTTGAGATATCTCAGATACCTGGTTTAGTATCTTTTAGTTTTTCTTTTCCAAATTTCAGAGTACATGTTGCAACCACGTTCTTAAGACACGGTGGGTTTTGCGGAGAAAATGAAGAAAAGTATTAAAAAAAACCAAGATATGAGTGTCCTTTTTCAAACCTAGTAATATTAACATCAAGGAACCAAGTAGTTGTTAAATAAAACATTTATCGATAGAAACTAAGCATCTGTTTAGGAAAGGTGTTTATGTTTTTTCAGACAGTTATTCACAAATTTTGCCAATTGGGAGTCCTTTTCGCAATATTTACGACACTTATCTTCTTGGTGCTCCCGTCGGTCATAAGGATTTTTGTAACTACTGTTTTTCACACCCTTTTTGCCAATTGGGATGCTTTTCTTTAACCCCTTTGTCTTTCAGGGATATCTCATCTTCTCGTTTTGTACATTCCCCTTTTTTGTGATCGATCTACATCTCGTTTCTTATTAAGATAAAAAAAAAGTTGATTGGGTCTCTCCTATCCCTTGGTTGTTATATCTTTATTGAGATTAGTTAGAATTTCAGTGTAAATTCATATATAGTGATAGTCTTTTGGTATAGGTTGTTCTGGTTTATTGGCTTTTAGTTGGGGTATTCTTTTGTACGTTGTATTTTGGGTTGGTTTTCTTTGTTGTTCTTTGTTGTATGCTTGTTGACTAAAGAAGCATAGACACTTTAGTTTGGATGACACGTTAAAAGTCGAACACTTGTTGGATCTTCCATCGTTTGATCCTTGTTGGACACTTGTTAGCACATAAAACATGCATTATATACTTTACTAGTTGTACAAAATAAATATTAGTTCGTGACTTGTTAGAGATGTATTAAGCGTAATAATGGACATAAATATTAATATAGGGAATAATAACAAAATTTAAGAGCTTAATACATCAAACTCAATTTGTAGCATATGAATATATAAGCTTATTGGCTTTCAATTTTCTTCCTATAAAAACTATAGGTATATTTATAAAAATGTATATTTAATAAGCATGTCCATGCCCTATCCTAAATTATTAGAAACTAATGTGTTCGAGTACATGATCGTGAGTTCATGTCTCGTCTCTGTATCCATGCTTCTTATGTTGTTGAGAAAAGAACTTTATAAAGTTATTTGTGTCGCTTCTCAAAGGAACTTAGAGAAAGCCACTTTCGGGAAACATGTCGGTCTCTTGAGAACCTTTGCATGCTACTCTGTCATTTATTCACATGCTCGTATCTTAAGCATAATTAAAACTCAAGGGTACGTAATCAAGTTGTGCATATCTTCCACATGCATTTTATGATTTAGTGTGAAGATTTTGTGACCTTGCAACATGCCATTGAGGTATCAATGCATTTATTCGTACTTGGATGCTATCACCATGCAAATCATTGTACATTTTTTTCTGTTATCATTTAAGAAAGTTATAGAATACATCATTTTAAGTATTCATCTACTTATGCTTACTTTATAATGGCGATTCCCTTTTAGACTTGAAGTTAAAAGATGTGAATCTTGTGGAGGCATACAAGGGTTGGACTGGCTTAGTGCTAAAGATGGTAGCTAACAAATGCCATGGCTGTATAAAACTGGGGGAACACCTGAAATTAGCAGCAGAGATAAAGAAACACAAAGAGGAAGTCAATAACCTTAAGTTTCAAATGTCAGACGAAGCACTTCAACAAATGCCCGACTTTCAGGGCCGGGTAATTTTTTTTTTTTTTCTGGATATATAGTGTTTTTTTTTTAATCTTGATTTATTATTTGAGTTAGATATATGGTTTATATCTGCAGCAGCATTCTAAATTTCGGTTTACGTGACAGATTGACGTTTTAAAGGAAATCGGCTGTATAAATGCTGACCTGGTCGTTCAAATCAAAGGACGTGTTGCCTGCGAGATGAACTCTGGGGAGGAGTTGATCTGTACAGAGTGTTTATTTGAGAATCAATTGGATGACCTCGAACCAGAAGAAGCTGTGGCGTTAATGTCTGCTTTCGTGTTCCAGCAGAGAAATACTTCCGAACCTTCCCTTACCCCGAAGCTGTCTATGGCTAAAAAAAGGTACATGTTTCTGTACTTTATTTTCCAAAATAAAAACAAATAAATAGTACATGTTTCAAGTATGTGAAGGCTCCTTGGTTCACTACAGTATTCTTTTGAACATCATTCCTAAATTTTATTGCCATCGCCTCAGCAATGACTGTGTAGAGACAAGTTACTTATGAAGCTATGGCTTTTACTTATGCTGTGTAAATAATAAAACGTCGAATATGCTGTGATCGTCCGTAAATGATTTGTTTTATAAACTTTTTAAGAAATGAGAAGGTGATCTTGGAAATGTATTTTTATCAGATTGTACGAGACAGCTATACGACTTGGAAAGCTTCAAGCCCAGTTCAGACTCCCAGTTGATTGCGAGGAGTACGCTCGAGACAATCTCAAGTTCGGTCTTGTCGAAGTAGTCTACGAATGGGCAAAAGTAACCGTTTCTCTGCAAGATGTTAATCGATTGTCTAGTTTTTCATTTGTTAGGCCTCTCAGCCTTGCATGTTTTTTTTCCAATTGTGCAGGGAACTCCATTTGCGGATATTTGTGAGCTCACAGATGTTCCTGAAGGCATGATAGTGAGAACTATAGTCAGATTGGACGAAACGTGTCGAGAATTCAAAAACGCAGCGGCGATTATGGGAAATTCTGCACTGCATAAGAAGATGGAGACTGCGTCGAATGCTATAAAGCGCGATATCGTGTTTTCTGCTAGTTTGTACATCACTGGACTCTGAAATGGCCAATTCTAAGGTATGTTGCTTCTTCAATTCATGAAATTACATGAGTCAATTCAGAATAGAATGTTGAACTATAGTAGGCATAGAGTTTTGTACATTATCATGTACTCTTTTTGTTAGTTAGAAAAGTGTCGAGAGAAAACAAGATGATCAGTTCAATGATACGAGCCTATAAGTTTTCATCTGCCTTCTATTAGTTCATGATCATCACTTGAAATTATTAGCAAATTAATTTTTGCCTAGCTCATATCTCCCCGAGGAAGCTCTAATGTTTAAAATCTTTATACCTCGTGGAACGACCGAAGAATAAAAAAACAGTTCACTTTTAGCATATATTGTCTTATTTGGATTTTTCCTTCCAGGCTTTCCTTTAAAGTTTTTAAAATATGTTTACTAGGGAGAGGTTTCCACACCCTTTATAAAGAATGTTTTGTTCTCTCCAACCGATCTTACAATTCATCCCCTTCTGAGCTCAGCATCCTTACTGGCACACTGCTTCATGTCCATCCCTCTGTGGGACTTGGCCTCCTCGCTCACATATTGCCCGATGTCTAGCTCTAATACCATTTGTAACGGTCCTAGCTCACTGTTAGCAGATATTGTCTTCTTTGGGCTTTCCCTTTCGGATTTTCCTTTAAGGTTTTTAAATGCGTCGGTTAGAGAAAGATTTCCACACTTTCATAAATAATGCTTTGATTTTCTCTCCAACCAATGTAGGATCTCACAATTATGATTTCTAGAATCCTTGTCTAAAATAAAATAGTAAATATAAGTTGTTGCAGGGTGGACTATCTTTGTAGTTCTATCTTATTTAAACCTTGCTAAGTAACCAAAGTCCATAAAATCCACATTTTCAAACTTAAAGTACCATAAAGCAACATTTTGATGATGACATGATGCATAGTTCTTGATGAGCTCCAGTAAGTCAGTTTCTTCACTAAGTATTACTCCTGTTTGGCTTGCCAGAAATAACATTTTCCTGAATATAAATCCATTTGAATTCCTTCAGCTTTATACTTAATAAAACAATAAATCAATATGATGCTTAAGAACATATAATCGCAAATCAATAGTCATCTTCTAAATATATTTCTATAATGATAAATAATTGGAGCATAAAGTTGCCTAATAAGACAGAATCATAAGTTTTATTTGAAATTAAAAAAAAACAAAAAAAATAATTTGATGAATGCAAGTTCAAAAATAGAGATAAGTTGAGATCAAAATATGCTTTAATCTAACCATGGATGTTTTTACTTTTTCCTTTCGGCATTCAAATATAATATTTGTGCATAATTACATCGTTCTTTTATTGTATTCTTAAATAAGGTATTCTTCTAAGACATTACCTCTCTAAAGGTTAGAACGTCAAAACTCGAACTTATTGTTGAAGGTTAAAAAGAAAAACTCTCATGTAAGTTCAAATTTTCAGAACTATAATTATATTTCAGTAGTTCTTTTTGGGGTTTTTAAATATCATTAAAGTTTTAAAAGTATATTTTCAATTTTTTTTTTTTTTAAAAGGGTTAAATTATCGTTTTAAATTCTAGCCTATGAGGGTTTAAAAGTTTTATCATAATGTAGTAAAAGATTTATATGGATATTTTATCATATGAAAATTTTTTATAGCTCACATTGTTGTAAAAAAAAATTTGGTTTTTTAAATTCAACTAACCATGATGGTATCTCTAACCTCTCTCAAACTATAGAACTAAAATGATAATTTGACCTAAAAAAATTACTAACAAATGAGAAAGATTTGTAAAAGAAGAGAATGTACTTGATGAAACAAGCGCTTCAAATTATACGAATTCATCCAAACAAAAACAATCAGTTACTTCAAATTATGGAGATTTTACCTGATCATTACTGGCCGGAATCCATTCATTGGTGGCTGGATTTCCCCTGCATGAGGCATGGCAGCAAGTGGCAGTAGCAGAATCCGCTGCGAGTTTGAAACCTTTGCAATCTCCATTCTCCATTTTGATGAATCCTGTTCCTGTCTGAAATCAAATTCAACTTCTTAGTAAACACAAAAACAGAGAATGAGGCTGATCGATTGATCGATTGATCGATGGAGAGAGTACCGTGTGGTGGTGCTGTTTGTCCACATAATTTAGATCGTCGTAATACTTCGTCTCCACAAATTCCTCAGAGATGTTGCCGTTTTGACCATCACAAGCAAGTCTCTGCTCAAATTCCAGAACAATCAAGGACTCAACAGAATGAAAATACTCTCACATTGTTCAATTTCTCCACAAATTTCTACACTGTTCATCTACATTTGATTGGATTCAACCTCTGATTCAACTTAAGAAGCACACTTAGTACTGCATTTCAGAGACCTAGAGGATCGAATCGATGATTCACTAACAGAAAGCTCAATCGAGAAGACTAATCGGAGAACTAACCTCGCGAGGATCGGATTCGAGGCGCTGAAACACGGCGAGTTCAGGAATGTAATCATCCTTGCGATTTACACTGTCGACATAATGCGCAGAGAATTCGCTACGCTGAGGCTTAGTATGGCGCTTCGGTGCGACGCCATTGAAGTACTCTCGAGTTTTGGCCTCCATCTCTCTTTCTTCCTCTATGGATAGACGAGCGTCGCTCCTCCCAGGCTTTTGGCCATTCTCCATTTCTGTTGATTCTCGGTTTCTAGGTTTTCGACCGTCGATCGATTAATTGCAGCAGATTTTGAGCGACGAGTGGATTTTAGGCTCTGCCATGATTAATTGGTGAGATGAAACACTGATTTTGGGGACCAAAACTGAAAAGAGATCTCACTTTTTGGTGGAACAAGAAAAAATCTCAACAAAAACGAAAAACCTCATCCGTCTACCTACGCACGCTACGACTTTCCAGCCTTTCGCTTGGTCCACCATAGCCTCGCATACCAAGGTTTCTTCATGCACGTGAATTGCTTTGCTTTTATGTTTCAAAATTGCCATCATTCCAATAATTGTGGTACTATAATCTTTTATACACCATTATTATTACATAAATGGTTCAATAATTTTTCATTGATATTAACTACTTTACGAGAAGGCGTTCATCCACCAAATCGGAGTCAAAAGTACCATAGAAGTTAACAACATCGGAGCACGAAAATGAGGAAATTTTTTCTTAGAACTGAGGTAATATCTAATCCTCTTACTCGTAACGACTTCCATCGTCCTTCTATTTACTGGAATAACAACGATGGTTAAGATAGCTAATAGTTGCTCGGTGTCACGGTCATGCTCGTCCAAGGCGTGTTGCCCATGGCTGCATGCCCATGACAAGCCCAACCCTTTATGTCTTTTCATATCATGTCTAGGTCTGTCAGACATGAAATGTCTCAGAATGTACTGGGATACAACTAGTTATCAACTTCTCCCTACCCAAAATTATATACTCTGAGCTTCTGAGCTGGCGTTATTTCTCTTACTTGCTTATATAACGTCTCTTTAAAAAATCTCTCTCTGCCCTCGTTTTCTAAAACCTTCTCTTAAAACCGAGGCCAGAGGCTCGAGCATACATCACTTGGCCATAGGCGACGCAAGAACGAATTGACTTAGCTCACTTATCGTTGGAAAGTGAGTGCCGCACAATCGCAAGTCCGCTGCCATCAAAAGTGCGATTGTGACACTCGGCTCATATTAGCCTGACCTTGTTCAACTACTACAACGGACAATAAGAACCGTATCAGGCCTTACATCTATCTATAATCCTTCGAGAATTTGAGAAGCTAAAATAGCAAAGAACGTAAGTAACCTGATCATGTCACAAGAGAATGTTAGGACCATCAAATGTCAAAACTAGATTCTAAGTTCCTTGGACTAGTATCACAGCACTGTGAGGATAGTTTTCACTCTTAAAAGTAAGGAGTAAGTAACGTAACTACTGAAAATGTCAAGATTAAACAATTGTCTCATAAATATCATTAAAATATAAAAATAATAATAATAAAAAAGAATTTGTATTACGTCCCCTCGTAATTATTTTATTAATATTGATGTATATAAATTGGATTGAGTTTGGGAAATCTTTTTAACAGCCCGAACCCTATTGAGTTGTCAAATATTTTAATCCTTTTTTAAAATACTACTTATATGTCAGATATTATATTGATAACTAAAATTTCATGAACCTTGGATGATGAAAGTCCCACATCGGCTAATTTAGGGAATGATCATGGGTTTATAAGTGAGGAATACTAACTCCATTGTGGAAAGTCGTGTTCGTCTAACATGGTATCAGAGCCATGCCCTAAACTTAGCCGTGCCAATAAATTGGCAAATCCTCCTGAGTCGAACAAAGGACTCCAGAAAGTAGAAGGCTTCAAGCCTCTTTGAAGGCCGTAAAAAATGACTAAGACTCCAAAGGAGTCGAGCCTCGATTGAGGGAAGGCGCACTTTGTTCGAGGGGAAGTGTTGGATGATGAAAAAATGACTAAGACTCCAAAGGAGTCGAGCCTCGATTGAGGGAAGCGCACTTTGTTCGAGGGGAAGTGTTGGATGATGAAAAAATGACTAAGACTCCAAAGGAGTCGAGCCTCGATTGAGGGAAGGCGCACTTTGTTCGAGGGGAAGTGTTGGATGATGAAAGTCCCTCCATTGGTATGAGGCCTTTTGGGGAAACCCAAAGCAAAGCCATGAGAGTTATGCTCAAAGTGGACAATATCATACCATTGTGGAGAGTCGTGATGAATGTTCGATTTTCTAAAAATTCAAACCCATCTCAAATAGAATATATATATTCAATCCAACTTTATAGTTCGAGTAAAATTAAATTATAGGTTTTTTTTCACCTAATCCATAAATTATAAATTTAGTATAAAGTAATTAAATTAGGTTAGCTAGGATCGGGTGTACTTCACCTCAATACGGTTGCACCAAATCCAGCCAACTGCCTTCTCTTACCACCATCAACTTCTCATTGAAAAATTCTAATTAAATGTTTTATTTATAAATACTTTTTATTTGTTTTTAGGGTTTCTTCAACTATTTTTATTATACAATTTTTTAAAACTAAAACTCTACATTTTTTAAAATTTGAATTAATTAGTTCCTTCAAAAATACTTTTTATTAAAAAAAAATGGAAAAATTGAAAGGAAAAAAAAAAGTCTTTTACTTAAATCTAAATTTAATTAAAACGAGGAGATGAAGAATCATAATGCATAATTATTTAACCTATCATTTACTTTTCTTTTTCAGGGAAAAATCAAAGCCTAATTTTGACGTCATATATGATATAAAAAGAACATTTTTCTTCAAATAATTTAGAGCTCTCTGGTTCATAAAATATAAGCTTAGGTGTTAAGCACTCCTTTGGTTTACCTAATTCTCCATTCAGATTCTAACGAAGCCATTGAAATTGGTCTCCAATTTATTTAATTATATATATATATATATATATATATATATATATATATCTACAAATTCCATCGTTCTCGTATTCATCGATCTCAAGAAAAGAGAGAAGAAAAAAAAAAACAGGACATGGCGGCGCTGCTGGTCGTGAGAGGCTTAGCGGCGGCGGTGGTGGCGGCTTTTTGTTTCATGTCGCCGCCGCCGGTCGAAGGCCTCGTCCGCCATTACAAGTTCAATGTAAGCTCTTTTAACTTCTTTAGTTCATAAACTTTAAGTTTCTTTTTTTTTTTTTTTCATGCCAGTTTTTTAATGAAATGAAATATACAAATTTAATCTTATTTATTTATTTAATTTTTATTCCCATCAAAATTTTCATTTATTTTCTAAGAAATTTATATCTATATATTTAAATGGTCTATTTAAATAAATTAATAGATCTCTGTTTTAATCCTCTAAAAAATTATGGAGCTCTCGAATAGCTTCTTCATTCACGTGAATATATATATATATATAATTTCTGTCTTAATCTTCTAAAAATTATGGAGCTCTCGAATAGCTTCCTCATTCATGTGATAATATATATATATTTAAATGGTCCATTTAAAAAAATTAATGAAAAATTAAAAAATAGTCTCCTCATTCATGTATATATATATATATATATTTAAATGGTCCATTTTTAAAAAATTAATGAAAATTCAAAAAAATCTCTAGGACTATGGAGGACCAAACCCTTTAATCGAGTCTCGACTCATTTTTCTGGAGCCCGTTCGACACTTTAGTCACTTTTAATTACACCTTCGAGGCTCACAATTCCAAAAGGTCTAATACCAATGGAGATAGTATTTTTCACTTATAAATTCATGATCTTCCACTAAATTAACCAACGTGGGACTCACTCACTCCCAATCATCATAACAAGGATTAGAGTTTTTTTTTTATATTTTTAAATGAATTAATTTTACAATGTTTTTAAAAAATAAATCAAATTGACATTAATTTAAATAAAAATTAAATGGAAATGCGTTTGTAACCTTTTCATGCAGGTGGTGATGAAGAAGGTTACCAGGCTTTGTTCAAGTAAGCCTATAGTTACCGTTAACAACAATTTCCCAGGCCCCACCATTTATGCTAGAGAAGACGACACCGTTTTGATCAAAGTCGTCAACCATGTCCCATATAACGTCAGCATCCATTGGTCAGTACACATTTCTACCTAAAAAAAATTAATTGTTTCTATTATGTAATTAATTTTAGTTAATAATTATGAAAAAAATAATAATTTTTTTTTGATAGTTCACTCAATAATCCGATTAACCTGAACTATTCAGCTAGAGGCTAAATTAGTAATTAATATTTATATTTTATAAAATTTTAGTTATTAATGTAATATGTATTATGAATAAGTGTAATTATTTTAAATAATTTAAATAAAAAAATACTCTGTTAGATTGTAACGTTGCTTGTATCATTGACCCAACCAATCAAGATTTACGGTTATTTAAATGATTTTTAATTAAATACTGTAAAGATAGTAAGAATCATTTAAAAATTATTATTAATTATTAAAAAAATACATTTTTTTTAATTATTTTAAAAAATAAAAATTTTCCATTTATATATGGTTAAGCTAAATTTAATTAAATTAATATTTTTACTAAATTATAAAAATGAGATTTTTTTTTTCTTTTTTTTTTTTCTTTTGAAGTCTGATGGTTAGAATTCGGTCAGGCACGGCATTAGACAGCTGAGGACAGGGTGGGCGGATGGGCCGGCCTATATAACACAGTGCCCGATCCAACCAGGACAGAGCTACGTCTACAACTTCACCATCACCGGTCAGCGAGGCACCCTTTTCTGGCACGCCCATATTCTTTGGCTCAGAGCCACTCTCTATGGCGCAGTCGTTATTTTGCCCAAGCTTGGAGTCCCTTATCCATTTCCCACGCCCCATGAGGAGATGGTTCTTATATTGGGTACTTGTTCATCTTTTGGGAGCTGGTTTTCATCCTTTTTGAGTTGTGCACCCTAGGTGTTTGTTGAAATGCTCTAACCAACTCTTTGTTTTTGTTTTTGTTTTTTGGTTGTTTTAGGTGAGTGGTGGAAGTCTGATGTTGAAGCTGTTATTAATGAGGCTACTAAGTCTGGTTTGGCTCCTAATGTCTCTGATGCTCATACCATCAATGGCCATCCTGGGCCTGTCCCTGGTTGTCTCACTCGAGGTAGTGGGCTGTTTCTTGTAGCTGTAGGCATTTAGCTGTATACTATGTTGAAATACTATTAAACTTGAAATTTGTGTCGATAAGATAAGTAATTGCATTACCATAGTTGCCAATATAAGCATAACTCAACTAGTTAAGTCGTATGTCCTGACTAAGAGGTCCAAAGATCGAATCCCTTGCTCTATGTTGATCTCGAATATTTGATATTATATATATATTATTGAAACAGTTGATTTCCTTACCATTTTCACTTAAAATGAAGGTTTTCTGCTCCATTACGAGGCATCCTTGAGTGATGCAATTTTGACACTTCTA